GTACGGAACTCATCCCGTAGAAGCAGCATCATGCTAATTGGATGTCGTATGGTAATGACATCACGTTATGCGTTATGTATATACAGCGCAATGAAGTACAGCAGCGAGCAAGTCGATTCTTGGCTGCAGATGTAACTACAAAACCGACGACATGGCATCTGAATACTCTACTTAAAATGTTACTAGATGGTGCGAAGCGAAGGAGCAGTATATTGCGCAGTAGTGAACCTGCAAATAGTTACCATTTTTTTCCTCGCCACCCATTACCACTGTTATTATAGTTTACAAGGGACGAATTTGTGTCAGGTGTCAATATTTAAACTGTAAATATGAACACACCCAAAGTCGTGAGCGTTCGCTAGATACACTAATATTAGTTTTTCCTCATGATACTGAACGTACGGTCTGTAGGACCTACATTGTAGGTGCTGCCTGAAAAGCGTTCGGTGCACGTCACCAATGGGCACCTGTAGCTAGCTTCTTGTATTTAGTAGAGCCAAAGCGCAACCTCAACGTCTTGCCTCAAGCGTGTTCTATCACCTGTTGACTGTGTGAGTAACTCGTCAGTCCTGCTAGAGCTTGAACTCAGGTTTGTAGCGTGAGGTGGCTTATACATGCCTTGCCCACGCGCATTCGCCTAGTATATAGCTACGTGCGTTAACCCTGCTGACACGTATCAGCTAAATTTACGCAACGAATGTCTTGCGGTTTGTTTCCTTGCTTTTAGTACATTAAATTCTAAAGCACGCAATAGCTACTTTCGCACATCGAAGTCTACACGCTATTTCATCAGCTCTAGGTCGTTTCAGCGCTAAACAGTGATTCGCTAACAAGTCGAAGCACCACGTTGGATTCGCTATGTTCTGCGTTCACTGTGTTCGCCGCGAATGCTTTGATTGGGTAAAACCATAAATCATTTTTACATGTTTTAGAAGTTTTGTTAGAAACATAAAAATAAAGCGAATATAATGTGGCCCACACAGCAGAATCATTATTATGGCGCTCTCGCTACGCTTTGCCGAGGAAGGCGAGTTCAGGTGCGCCTCCGCCTTTCTCCTCGCTCCTTAGCGCATCATTCGCGACGCTCATCCTCTACTCGTCCTCCCAGCTCTCGTGTATGCGATATTTCGTCCTTTGACGCCCCTGACGTCGCTCCCAGCAAGGCCTTCTTTCGCGTAAAGTTTTGTCACAAACTGTATGAACTTTGTCTATTTATTAACACTTTTGCTTCGTGCTAGTGGAGTCGCCCTGTGCGTCAAGTTTTGGGACCCAAAGCGCACGAACCAGTCAAGATTAAGACGCTCATTGTCGCTCTACCTGGAGCAGCCCAGCAGTTCGTGCAGCAGTTGACAGCCTCGTGGAGCCCTGTTGGATCTTTGGTGACCAGCGACCAAGCCATTGTACGTCCTACAAAAAAAAAATGTTACTTATAGTCAATTATTATGACAAGAAAGGTATGTTTTACTAACATTGTTATTGACATATTTTGTAGCATCCGTGCAAATTGCAGAATGACACGAACTCCACTGGTGTGATCCTGTCGAAGACGGGAGTGAAGGTCTCGGAGGAGAACAACACGTTGGCATTGCTAGTGGGACAAGAAGTTCTTGTGGCAGGGGCGTGGATCTGGCTAAAAACTCTGATGCAGCACGTGGATGCAGAGGACATTATTTGTCTGGACTCGCAGCTGTCCACAATTTACGCTACGGACGAAGAGATCGGAGCCAAGTTGAGGATGTTGGCGTCGTCCAGTGTGACGGACGAGATGAAGATGACGACACCCGTGCGAGCTCTAGAAGTGCCACAGTTTGTTACCGGTATACCGGCTGCACTGCTCACCCATGTACGTTATCGCAGTGGAAGGTTGATCTACCGTCTTGCAATACTCATGAGTATGCTTTTACTGTTATAGGGCGAACTACATAAGCGCCATGTCCGCGTATTCGTGAGTGTCCGCGACGTGTCCACTACTCCAATTGACGTAGTCCGTAGCTTTCTGCCGCTAGCTGCGACTTCGTCGTCGGTGCTGGGAGCACTAGAACGTCCGATGTTCTTCAAGCCCAGCGGTGAATCACAAAGTGCTGGCTCGCTCAACGTGCTCTACACTTAGGTCACTGCGTAACTACCTGGCGATTAACCGCCTAACCGAAATAGATGGTTATTTCGAGCGCATTTATCAATTATTTTTAGTTAAGAATTGACTGTTCGGTATATATCTTAACCTTGACCGTGGCATCTGTTGTGGGCATGGCTTGAGGGTTTGTATCGTTCACAATGGATAATCAACAGAAAGCTCCGCCTGTGCGTGAATTCTCTACTCGGTTCCTCCCGAACAATGGCATTCCAGAGTACAATGCGCTGTTGGACAATCATTTGGGCAAGCGCCGAGAGTTTCTACTCGGTAACCGGCATTCCTTGGAGTTAATGCAGCAGACTGGAGTGATTGAACGTGTGGAGACACAGCCAGACAACCCAAACCAGTATGTGGTGCATATAGCTGACAAGCCCATCCACAGACGCAAGCGTCTACCTCCACGATCCGCCTCTGGCCCATTGCAACCTCCAGAGTCTCAAACGATGCCCTGGCGACAATATTCTGCTAATCGAGAGCTCCGACGAGGCAATACCAGTACTTCTCGCTTGAACACCGATGGATTACTGGGTAAATATGACGATGTTAGTGCAGCGAAGAAAGCTAATGCAGCGACATTGAAGGGATTAAGTCGGAGCTTCAGCACGAATACCGTCCTAAGTACTTCATGTAAACCGGTATTGAAATCGGCAGCAGCGAATCGTTTAGCGCTTTTCGGCTCAACAAAATGTAGCGCCTTATTGGAAGCTTCCGGCAAACATCGAGCTTCGTCTGACGTCTCGCTATCTCAAGTTACGGAAAAGCGTACTCGCAGTCGCAGTGCAGTCTCTACGAAAGTGTCGAAGAGATCAGTGGCATCAACCGCTAGTACTTCTCATACCAGTAATGTGAAAGGTACAGTGGAACATTTACTCGAGAGCGATGCTGCGTTCATGACTCAAATCCGGACGATGAAGGAACAACTCACTGAATTGGAAGGTAAAAAATCGTATTTAGACACCGAGATCGGTAATTTACGGCGTAAGTTACGCGGTGTCAACGCTGTCCGAGAGAACGACGTGGCAGTGGCGCACTGCTCGTCTATCATGCAGCATCGATTATCCAAAGCGGAAGAGGAATTTATGAAGCTCGTGACACAGCAACAAGAAGTTAAGAAAGATGTGGATCGAGTACGACGCGAGCTCTTGTCTATGTGGAAGGTACGACAGAAACTTCAAGAAGATATCGAGGACGTGGCGCAAGCGAATCAAAGTTACGAAGAAAAAATACACACGTCGAAAATTGTGCGCAATCAATTGTCGGAGGAGCTGAGTGAACTGGAGCGCAGCGCTGAAGCCGAAATAGAAGCCCAGAGACTGAATCTGCCGCCCGAAGAAGCCGTGGTTGTGGATGTAAACAAGCTCATGGGAGCTGTGAAAGAGCGACGGCATGCGTTGGTTGGGCTCAATCCAACGGGGAGAGCACTGACGATACTGCAGCCGAGTACAGCTACACCAGTAAACGGTACGACGTCAAGGAGTCCGAATGAACGACGCCAGCCCAAGACCCTGGTGGATTATTGCGTACGATATGCTTTATTGTGTGTTTTTTTTTTAATTTTTTTTTACTGATTTTATGGGTATGTTACGTAGACTGCATTTCGTGTACTACAGAATTCAATGGGGTTTCCGGATTTAGAAGCACTTGAAGAGCAGTTCACGACCACGGAGGAGCAATTATTGTCGAAATATAAGGCGAATCTTGCTCTAGCAGATGAAGTAGCAGCCTTGGAGAAGGAAATATCTGCTATCAACAACGAGAAGAAAATCAACCGCGCAAATGTACGCGGTATTGCCCAAGCGAGCGAGAAGATCGAGCGGGACATGCAGATTCGTACCCAGAGTGTTCTTAAGAGTATTAACTCTTACAATGATCTGCGTGAACAACGCAATCGGGAGCATGCCAAGCTACGTGACATCATGTTACGGTGTCTTGATGCTCTTCAAATCGACGTTAGAGGGTCCGATCTTCCCGACGATAATGGAAACCGCAGCTCGAATGGCAGATCGAAGACGCACTGGGCCGAAGCACCGTCACCTGAGCTTCTGGAAATGTTACAACGCAAGATGACGCAAGTGGCTGTCACATTAAAAGTTAAGCACAGCTCTCGTATCCTGGAAATCCCTCCTGAAGCGCTAAGGATGAATCGAGGGCATGACGGGCGACGTAGTAACATGTTTTCGACCCGAGAAGCGTCCAAGATCGTACTGGGACCGCGAGAACCTTCCGGCTCTGCGTTGTCAGCCATCCTCGGTACAGTTCAACCACCGTCTATTGAGAACGCAGTGGCGTTAACAGAGAACGTGAGTATGATGGAAGTGATGCATGGACTGCATCGCTCTATCAGTCCTGCGCGAAGAAAAGCAAGCTTGCTTTCAATCGTTCCTCCAGGTTTGGGGAAACCGGTTAATACCAGTACTACCGGTAATGCTACGCCTACTGTGGTGAATTTACTCAATGCTGGTAACGTTAGAAGGTCTGCACCGAACACGTTGCCTCCAGTGCGTGGTAGATCATCGTTGGCTGCGATGATCGAAGCAGACAAAGAAGAGGATGAAGATGACGAAGAAAATGATGGAGAGAACGAGAATGATCAAGCTGAAGTAGGTGGAGGTGATGATACTGGCGAAGACGATAATGATACGGATATTTAGAGTAAATTTTGCTCTTAAAAAGCAAGATGGTGTGTTGAGAACAGTCTAATTTATCGGATATTTTTGCGTGAACGACTGAGTGGTAGAACTTGACTAATGTTACCTGCCGACTGTTGTCGTACAAGCCGTTGACGAACCGGTCGTGGCGTCTGTAGCCACTTCGCACACAGAGAGTTACCATAACGTTGACAAGTGAAAAACCGTGAGTAACTCGCTGTTTCATACGGTGAAGAAGCGGGAAAAATCCGATCAAAATGTCCACGTCGATCCATTTCATTGTCCATGGCTCGTACGATATCCCAGTCGCTAGCACTGAATAAATCCAAGTGGCTAGCGTCAAACCGCTCAATATTTGGGTCTTGGACAGCTTCGTGAAGCTGGCGGTTCGCTGAATTCCCCCGCATGTTTTTACTGCGTCGAACCTGGCGGTATATACCGGTATCTGGTAAAACATCTAACGAACCATACAAATTCGCGGGAATATTCTCTCTCGGCACGCTTGTGATCGGTACTTGTAGCCCCACCAAGTGCAGCGTATCACTCAGCAACAATCCTTTGACTCGTCGATCTAGTGGAGATCCGCCCATAAGAGACGGAGAGACGTTCACCTCAATGAGCCAGGGGCGTAACTTTGAGTCCAACATGAGGTCGAAACCAAAGAGTTCGTAACAATTTGTTCGGCCTGCGAACTGGTGGAATAACGACGTGAGATGCGCTTCTGCAGCGATGATCGTCTTGCATACTATGGCTCGGATTCGACGCATCAGCGTCTCGGGGTTGTCGAGGAGTTGCTGGGACTGTAAAGAACGGATTAAAGCCGATAAACTCCACTTGCTGCCTGCGTCTGCTTGCTGGTCATCAGCGTTCTCCACGAATCCATTACTGCGCTTGTTTATCGCGTAATTGGTGAGATGAGCGAAGCGATTCCGTGGGTTTTTGACAGAATACGGAGCAGTGCAGAAGCGAGCGATGCCCTCTTGGAAGAGATAGATACGAAGAGGATCCAGACTCGTGACGAGGACGTACAATCTCAGATCGAACTTGTAACGTTCTTTATCACCTAGTAGCAGTGGATCCGATACATATTTCTGCACGATCATCGGTTTAGTGTTCTTGGACTTTTTTGCCTTTCTAGAGATTTTTCGAGTGTCTTCACACATTTTACAAGCGTCTTGATGAGTTAAAACGCGAATACCACGACCACACGCAGACGCTGGCGGTTTAATGATCCATAACGGTTCGATTGCAGATGTACCGGATCCTTTATTGTTCGAAGGGAATGTACCGGTTATAAAGGCTTCGTTACGCTCCAATGCTCGACGGAAGGAATCCATTTGACCCGGTAAGGAAAAGCCTTCGGGATAGAAATCGTAACTCGATCCAAAGCGACGACGACAGTTGGCTAATACCTTCATAAGTCGATCTTTTCTGCCAATCACCCATGGGTCTGGAAAGTGATTAAACACTTGCGGATGTTCGCCTCGGAACTTCTCGAACTCCGTTTTGGGTACTGGTTTGGCCCATGCCAAGTGCCATACAGTCCACTTCTTCCTTGTACGATGCAATCCAGCAGCAGCGAAGGCGTTCTTTACGCAGTTGCGTTCCCAAGAAGTTCGATAGAATAATTGAAGTTTCTGTGCGTCAACCGTAGTGACCACCTGGCCGCTGTAGTCTCGTACTACCCCGAGAGAAAGTGGGTAGTCGAAACACACAGTTGGGTTGCGCTTGAGAGGGTCACTTCGACTGAATACCAGCTTGACTACAGACGATGTTGGGCATTTTTGACCAGGTTTTAACGTTGTAATAGTTTTATCACCAGATGTTGAATCCATTTCAGTATCGTCACCACTCTCTTCGTCATCTGCGTCTTCGTCTCCATCGTCTTCAGCGTCAATTTCCTCTTCGAAGTCATGCTGTGGTTGGAGGCTCCCAATAGAACTATGTGATTGATTCGAGCGACTGTATATTACGCCAGGACTTGTGGTGGGGTCTAGTGTGGGAGGAGAGTCGTCGATACGAAGCAGTCGACGCCGCAGACTCAAGCGCGTCTCCATTGATCATTAATCCAGTCGTCGCCTTCGCCAGGATAGCAGTGCGATACATGCTGGATCCGTTTCACCGAACGAAGGGCCGCCATGAGGGAAAAGATGGCACTGAAAGGAACAATACAATGTAGATAGAGTCTAGAATATTGAGAAATTGCGGGCTATAGTTGTTGTTCCCCTTCTCCAACCTCCAAATTTAATGCGAGACGATAGGCAAGGATATCGAGAACCAACTGGCAAAGATATTATCCGAACGTTGGAGACCGTTCTGCAGTGTATAGAAGTCTACACCTACACCGTAGATCGTGTGCGACTGGATAGGCTCCTTTAATATCATTCCAATGCTCAATTAAAATGCCACCCTATCAGCAAAGGCGTGCTACGCACGAAGAAGCTCTAATCTTTTTTTTTTTTTTTGGAGCATGACATGTTCAACTGTATTTTTGCAGCTGACATCGAAGGATATTTACAATATTTATTTTTTTACAGCGATGTGATTTTGCATCACAGCTATATGCAGTACTGGATAACTCCCCGGATGATCTAGAGTCCGCCTACGTTCAGTATCATGAGGAAAAACTAATATTAGTTTATCTAGCTCAAGACTTTGGGTGTGTTCATATTTACAGTTTAAATATTGACACCTGACACAAATTCGTCCCTTGTAAACTATAATAACAGTGGTAATGGGTGGCGAGGAAAAAAATGGTAACTATTTGCAGGTTCACTACTGCGCAATATACTGCTCCTTCGCTTCGCACCATCTAGTAACATTTTAAGTAGAGTATTCAGATGCCATATCGTCGGTTTTGTAGTTACATCTGCAGCCAATAATCGACTTGCTCGCTGCTGTACTTCATTGCGCTGTATATACATAACGCATAACGTGATGTCATTACCATACGACATCCAATTAGCATGATGCTGCTTCTACGGGATGAGTTCCGTACCCACTCACTCTATTTCCTCACCGCATTTCGCAGTTTTCTTCAGAATGAATTGATTTGACTTGAATTGCATTTAATTGATAGCGGGTTTTCGACTAAAGTACGCCCGCCGCTGCTAACTAGAGACTCGCTAAGCGAGTCCCTGTTATATTAAATCCGATTTATCGAGAGCTCCAATGGTTCTCAGGGATCGTTTCATTTGACGCGGTCTGTATGCTTACTTTTTTATAGTGTATATTCGGGACCACGAATTCCGTGGTCAAACTATCTAAAAAGAAACTTCGGCATGGTCAAGTTGATTTACACCGCATATTCAACTCCCGAAATTTCGTGGCATGACGCCTCTTGCTCCTACAGCGCAGCATGTGCACAATCTGTATGCCTATCTACTGCAAAGCCGCAAAAAAAAAAAAGCGTAACAAACCAGTCAGGGTTCATCAGTCAGATAACGCAAAACATGATTTCCATAACGCATTACGTGATGTCAATACCATACGATATCCGAGTATCACCATACTGCTTGTCGGAGATGAATGCTTGCAACTGCTCACTATATTTTCTCTACTCATTCTGCAATCTGCTTCGTTCCAGTCAAGCGACACATATCCAGTGTGATGAAGTCCTGTCTTCTTTACCCTCCCAACAGCCACTTGCTGACTGACAGTGTCATTAGCGCCGTGGTAGTCAAGAGCAAACGACCATCGTACGTATACGACAAAGACAATAATGCCTCGACATCCGAGCATCTACCCGACTGCACTTTCAAGCCAACAACCTCCGCCCGGTCTGGTTTGGGTCCAACCAAATACCAAGTGAGAAAGAACGCACGGAATAAACTCAGTATGACCGAAAAAGAAGCCCTCGAACTCCACCTACAGCGACGACGGGTGATTCAACAAAGATACAGGAAGAATATCGAGCATAAACAGAGAGCCCTGGTGGCTGACGTCGCTAAACTACAAATGGAGGTGCAGAGAATCGAGTTAATTCTCCACCCACCACCTCGTGTGGCTCCCGATACAACATCGTGGAAGGCGGTGGTGGAGTTCGTCCACCTTTTTCGATCCGTGGTTGCTGCACCTGGTGAGGAAGAGCTCAAAGACACCACTGCCCTGAAGGGCGTAAACCAAACTCAGAAACAGTTTTTGTTCACTATCATGGCTCCTGACATCGCGTTTAACAACGGGTACGGCATTGACAGAGTGCTGAGCCATTGGCATTTCTGTTCACTGCACTTCCTCAAAATGGAGGTCCGACTAGTTTGCTTGGAGCATGGTTCAGGAAACGAGATGATTGCCCATTTGAGCAATTGCACTATTATCACGGAAAGTATGCTACGCAACTCGCTTTTCTGTGATGGCAAAGAAGGAGACAACGAATGGCCGTCGTTTGCATGGAAGCTTCTTGGCCAACGACTTACAGTTCAGACCACTGTGCGATTCGAATGGGATGACAAGAACAGGCGCTTTGAAAGTGTTTTCTTCGAGGCAGATATGCTGACCCCTTTGCTCAAGCTCTTGGGGGATATGGAAGATGCGTCGACAGTTTTAAGCAGCAATATCGGAATCTATTAGACTAGCTATTATTGATGCCTGTGTGCCGTACAACCAATTGAAATATAGACGTTTGTCTTATTTTAGCTTTGGACTTGATGGCGATCATGATATACCATCACA